ACAATTCCCAGCCTTCCATTTGTTATGCAGTTCCTAGTGCTTCTCTAGGCAAATACAACATGTTTTTCCTGTCACTCCTGTCTGGACTGCCTTTCTTAGGCGAGTACGTCTCCCTGCGCACAGTCTGAGTGCGATAGACTGAGCCGGGACTGTAACTGCCATGCTGTCCTACCTGAATACCAAAGGGATCCTTCAAAGCAAATAGATGGGTAGTGTACCTGATGTGAAAAAGCGTTAAAAACTAGCCTTCAATCTGAGTATCCATTATAGTAGTGGTATGAGAACCACAATAGTACTTTTCAATCGTTAGCTGACTTAGCCACATACATGCAGCAGAACATTTTTTCAATATGTAACTCATGAGCATGTAGATGTGTGTTCTGGCCTCAAGATAATCTCTAGACAAGGTTTTATTTTTGTAGAAAAAGGTGACATACGTACAGCATGCATTTTCTTGTGCATTCCTTGACCTTGGAAAGCACCCAGTTTTACATAAATCATTTCTGATCATCTCCTTGTTGCATAACTGCTTATCTTGTTATGCGTCCCAAAAAAATTAAGATAACTTAAGACAACTTTTGCCTCGTCATAAAAGATACAACAGAGCAGTAATGAGAAGGCTGTACATAATAAACAGATGGGGGGGGGAAGAGAGAGAAAATAAACAATTTAGTGCCATGGTCATTCTGAAACAGTTATATTTTTCAAGTCACCAGGCAAGGAAAAATTTTATCTTGGTGTGAGAGGAATAGACTTACTTCAAGGGTGCTTTTATGTGTCGCTAGACTGGTTAACAAGGAGCATCTTTTTTAAGAATGGAATTAGAACTTTGCTTTCCTTTGCTCCAAGACATGTATTTACATAAATTGCAAAACAATTTTGCATTGTTGTTGGTGGTAATAGTGCATTTTGTGATGCAATATATCAGTTTCAGTGATGCACTTATGTCAAACTTAGAACTGATCTTCCTCCTGGAACTTGCATTTATCCGATTCCATTTTTCAAGGATAATGCACCTCTAAAGGAAGAGTTGGGAAATTAAAAGCCTCTGTTTTTTCTATTATGGAAGATCTCCTTGGATTAATAAACATCTGAAGCAAATCCTTATCTTCACTTATTTCAGTGTGTTGTTTGAATGTAGCTGTATTCTTACAGTACACGGGATTCCTGTTCTACTTACTTAACTCCTAAGATTTGTACTTCCAAGTATTTCTTCAAGGAGAGATTTTTCAGCAGAACCAGAGCTCTCTTAATTGCAATAATAAGTGTTAAATACAAAAGTCTAATGTTATAACTTTTTTAATGTTGGTGTAAGATTAGTATTTTGCTCCCAAGTACTTCGAAAGATCTTAATAGGGTAGTACTAATTGAAATGTCAATTTGGTGTAATACAGCAAAGCTGTGTGCAAATCTATTGTAACTAGCCTAGAATTACTCCTGCAAGATTCAAGATGCCTGTAGTGGATTAATTACAGAATATCTGACTGTAAACATGTAGGTTTAAAAAAAATAATAATACAACTTAATCCATAAAACTTACTACCAGGTATCAAGAGATCAAGTACTGGGCACTTAAAAAAGCAGAACTGCTCTTTCTGTGACTGAGTATCAGGTCTGGGGAGTTATAAACATTGCTGTCTTCTCAGTTATCTTCATTATTGCATGCTTCTGTCACATTCCCTCTCAGTCCTGCCTCACGCATTTTCTCTGTTGCTATCCTGTGCCTGAACGTCCCCTTTAACTCCTCTGAGATGTCGCTCAGAAAGGGTGAACGGTTTATAGTGGGGCCCCTCTGTGACATAAGTATAAACACCCTGATAAATGACTCCTTCCTTCTGCTGGAGTCTTGGCACCTGGATTGATGCTCAGGGACAAACCCAGTCATTCTGCGGGGAATCTGCAGAACAAGGTATCCAAGGTGCCGGCTCCGTAGTAGATGTGTAAGAATCACCTAAGGAATGACTGATGTTATATCTAGCTCAGTATTAGTTGTAGACCCATTTGTCTATGTACAAATTTTGATTTAACAGCTTTTGTTCAGACATGCTGGTGGAAAAAGGTCTTCCCAGTCTCTCTTGACTTGGTTCTTTTCTTTGCTATATGACCACCAGCATTTTCTGACTGGATGAATTTCTGAAAAATTTATGCAGCAGTGAGCATTTTTTTAATAAATCAAAATTCATCACAGAAACCACTTTAGTTTTGCATTTGTTCAATCTCAAAAAAAAAAGAAACTTTAAAAAAAAGAGATTGAGCTTGGAGGCTCCATGTGTTATACTGCTATGGACTGTAGAAACAAGAGACTTGAATTCTTTTAGCCTCATTTTTCCCTTCCCCTAATTCTAGTGGTACCTTCCAAGGATGTTCAACCACACACCTTAAAAAGGTTCATTTGTCTGCTATTGTATAGACCAGTTGTAAAGTACTCTGCAATCAAGGAGTGGTATTTAACTTAGTCATAGGCTTGCATAGCCTTTGCTTTTTACAGCCACACATTCTCAAAGGCTGACAAAAGAAATGGAAAAAGCAGCTCGAACACGAAACTGAGCAGAAAGGTCATGGATACAAGCTGCAATCCCTCCTGCGGAACCAGGGTGACAATGCCGCCGACAGCAGTTCTGGTACTGCTTGAATTAAAGGCACGGCTCTAATTTGTATTTCGTGTGCAAGTTGCTTGTTAAGAAAACCCAAACCTACAGAAGGAAAATGGCTCACTGTAATTGTTCCTGTGCTTAAAGGTTGCTCAGGACTGATCCGTCTTTGTCCTTTTCTACACTTTCCAGGAGTTCAAACTGGTCTTCTAGAGTTTGCAGCAAGAAATCCTAAACCTGTTATGTTCACACAGCTCCTCCGTAGCATATTACTAGGTCGGTGTTTGCCCCTCACATTAATTGTGCTTAACCATGGCATTTTTCTTTTATGGAAACACCTACTGAAAAAAAAATCCTCATACTCTCTAGTTGGTCCAAATCAAGTGAGGACAAACGTCTGTTCAAGCGCTGCTTTAAAAACGTAGCCCTTATCTGCACGGAGCCAGCTGAAGCGGTGGCGGCAGATAACACGCCGGTGGCAACCGGAGCCACGGGCGGCCCCCGCCTCAGCCCGCGCCCCTCGGGGGGCGGCCCTGCCGGTCCCCCGCG